GTTAGGATGGTGATGTCCTTAAGTGTGATAGTGCACTTGCCTTCACGAAAATTGAAGCAATGTGTCTTCTTTCGCCATCTCTCTACCAATGCTGTGATGAGTTGGCGGTCGATCTTTATTCCATTAAAGTGCCTAATGGGATCCAATCTTGCTCTTCTTAGAAAGGGCAAGATGACGTCGTTCCATTTAAGCACATTCACCATACCCCTATAGCGGACTATATGGTATGCGTCCTAGGGAAGAATTTAACTTTCACTATAAGTTTATGATTTATACATATATAAATCTATTATAACAAACAATATCAATCATTGAAATCAAGGTTTTTTTCCAATAAATATACATAATTAAAAAAACATTAGTATTAAGCTAACTAAAATAATTAACTAAAATGTATACCATTTTCGAAATTTAAGTAAAATTACTTTTTTACTCATACATATAAAATCAAATATATTATTTTGTACTTCGTATTGATTGTTTTCAAAATTTAAAGCAATAGGCTGCGTTGCTATTTCATTTTAATTAAGTGTAGGTCTTATAAATATTGAATGCAATTCTTTTTTTTTTTTTTTTTTTTATACCCAGGAACCTCAGCCCCACGTGCCACTTTGTGACAGCGGGTCCTACTAAACCTGGGGGCCACCTGCATTTAATTTGACGCCAACGGGGCTTCGCCCCCAGCAGCCTTGTACCTCCGGGAACACCAACGGGCCTCGCTTGGATTCGAACCTGGGATCTGCAACTCCCAAGCCTTCACTGTTGCGGCAGCTTTACCGTTAGGCTATCTTACCTTTGGTAATAATCATATACACACATTTATACTTCTTTCACTATTTATTCTTTAGTTAATAATCATATACTAATGTTAATCATAGACATTCCTTATTCAAGTACACTCATAAGACTCTTAGGAGAGGTATACATCTCCTTAGAAACACAACCTGTTTGACAGAAAAATGGAGGGATTTGAGGATCGCTTAGAACCCGATTTTTCCAGAAAATGGGAGGATCATGATGATCGCTTAAGACCCCATTTCCTTAGACATGCATTTCTTTATAAAGAGTCTAAATAAGTGTTGGATTGTATTGATTTAAATTATTGAAAATAATCAGTACGATTAACAATTAACAAATCTATTATACAAACCAGTAAATTACGTTCATATGTACCTTGTGGTCGTTCCAAACGTCCCTTGAACGATGATTATCTTGGTTGTATAATACAGTCGGATCAATCGATCCTTGATTAACATAATATCGTTGATTGTATATATCAAGATCCTCCCCAACCTACAATAGCATAACAACAACATAAATCAATTAGTATATAGATTAAATAAAATCATTACAACAAAAACAACAAAAATTAGGTAAAATGAGTAGGTACTACTTGATAGTCATCAAAGTAAATACCCTCTTCTTCGAAAAAATCAGTCATTTTTTCAGGAACCAGACAGAGATTCAACGGTTTTTTAATGAAAACCAAAGGAAAGTTTTTTTAGGGCAGATCAGACTTAGCCTCAACCAACAAATCACTATTTTCAATGTTTTTGGGTGGAGAGGGGATGGGTAGAGTGATAAACTTAGAGAGAGAGAGAGAGAGCATATTGATTTTGGTGTGAAGAAAATGAGAGGAAGGGGTGGGTATATATAGGTGGAAGACCGCCTGGTTGGGGGGAGGGTTGTATTTTTACCCCACCAAAAATTGCGCCTCCAACACACGGTTTTCTTTTCCTGAAGCGAAAACCGTGCCCTCGGGGAACGGTTATCAGTGGTGGACGCGAATCGCTCCGGCAGGCGGTTAGCCGTCGGATCGCCTACCCATCGCACGGTTGCATGGACCGCCACGTGGAGTAGCAGTTTTGCAGTTGCCCAATGGAAAACCTCCTGTTCCCCGCGTGGTTTGAAGGAGAACCGCGCCTTCGTGGTGCGGTTTATGATTAATGGTGGTAGTTTTGTTGGATTGGGTGGTACTTTTGTAACTTTTTTTAAAGGATGGTAGTTTGAGAAAAAAACCTGGTTTATGTGAGCTTCCTTTATGTTGGGCTTTTTATTTGCTGGCTGCATGATCCTTTTCTTTTCTTGATTGATTGAGCCCATTGTTTGGGCTTTAATATTTCTTATTTATCTTTTGTTGCCTTTTCTTGGGTGTTTCTTACGGTCCAAGATAGGGCTAGTAACTACTGGTTACTGACCCATCAATAACCACACGCGGGCCGTAGATCTAGGGATGGAGAAATCATGTGGATGGGCTGGACGCTGGGTGGGGAGGGGCATTTTTGTCCGTTTTTGTATTTTTAATTTTTTTATTTATTCCGCATTTCAATGGCTGACTTTTCAATGAAAGAGAGAGAATGGTCTTTTTCTGCAACTGAACTTTCTTCCTTCCCTCTTCTTTTTTTCAATCTCTTTCCAGATCCTTTTTCTTTCTCTATTCCTTCTCTCTTACTTTTTCTCTCACAATCTCCTTTTCAAATATAAATCTGCTCTCTTCCTTCTTCATTTTTTTTTCTCTAGCATAATAATTGTAGCCACTCTCTTTCATTGCATTTCTTCTCTTCATCAACTCGTTGGACTCAATTCCGATATTTCTCATTTTTTTGGCATTTTGGTGTTCTAGATTGAGGAAGAGGAAATGAGAGGCATCAGAAGACGATTTTTTCTCTCCCTCCTTCTGTTTTTCTCCTTTTAGATAATATATATTGATATTATGACTCTATACCATATGGTATTGGGGGGTAACGAAATATATATTGACATTACCACACTATACCCTATGATAATTTGTGGTATTGTGTGGTAAAGAAACATATATTGATATTACCACTCTATACCATATGGTATTGTGTGATATTACCACACTATACCATATGGTATTGTGTGGTAACGAAATATATATTGATACTACCACTCTATACCATATGGTATTGTGTGATATTACCACTCTATACCATATGGTATTGTGTGATATTACCACACTATACCATATGGTATTGTGTGGTAACGAAATATATATTGATATTACCACACTATACCATATGGTATTGGGTGGTAACGAAATATATATTGATATTACCACACTATACCCTATGGTAATGTATGGTATTGTGTGGTAACGAAATATATATTGATATTACCACTCTATACCATATGGTATTGTGTGAATTGTGTGATATTACCACACTATATCATATGGTATTGGGTGGTAACGAAATATAAATTGATATTACCACACTATACCATATGGTATTGGGTGGTAACAAAATATATATTCATGTGGCAAATATTACCATACCATATGGTATGCTATTGTTTAATACCAGTCAATACCATATGGTACAGTCAATACCATATGGTATAGACTGATAATAACTGACAATTTTTTTTGTGTCCAAAAAATATCAAAGTGGATATCATTTTGAAGAGCACAATTAATCTGATCTTACTGTGCAAAAAAAAATTAAATTTGGACTTAAAACGAGTGAGAAATCGTCCGTTAAAGATTAAGGGAAGGAAAATTAAATGTTTTGCGAGGAGAGAGAAGGGGGCGCTGATATGCTCCGGTCAAAAGTGAGCATCAGCAATAAATAGGAGTAAGTGCAATTTTACCGTACTGCCCTTTTCACATTTAATTTAAATAAAAAAGTGATTGATACGTGGGGACCAATGAAGGGGTTACTGATGGGTTACTGACCCATCAGTTACTGACCAGATCTGGACCAGTTTCTTACCCAACTTTGCTTCACTACTGAAATGCAATACAAGCAGGTTCTTTGTAAAAAGGGAAATGATTATTTATTAATCAAACCTTTTTTAGAAACTTTTTTATTGGAAATCCTATCGAAATACTAAGAACTAGCCAAACGATTTGTAACACGTCCAAGTAGTAGCCATTAATTTGTTACCGTTAACTATTTTTAATGGTGCTCCATCTCAGCGTCCAACTCAGCTGCCACCTTATCAATGAATAAAATAAAAGTGGGTAAACACTAATTATTAGCCAAACCTTTCTCACATTCTTTTTTATAATCCAAACCTATTGAATTACTAATAATTGACCAATCTTTTGTAATGCATCAAAATATTAGCCATTTATACGTTAGCATTAATAATTTTGTAACTTTTTTCTTAGTTAAAATACTAAAATTTTGGAATGTTGACCTCCATGTCTCTTTCAAGTCAGTATCATGTTGCCAAGTCAATATTACTTACAAAATTGCTAACTGGAAGTTAACATTTGACTAATTATTAGTAGTTTAATAAGTTTGGCTAATAAAACAAATGTGGAAAAAATGATCAATGGTTGACTGGCTGATGTGACATTTTTTGACTGCCACGTCAGAATATTCCTTCCAACACAGCGCCACATCTAACAGCTCACCATCATCAAACAAAAAAGTTAACGAATTTAACGTTTGGTTAATAAATAGTATTTCAATTGGTTTGGATAAAATAAAAAATTCGAAAAAAATAAATAGACATTACTCTAAAAAAGTAATGTTCTAGGGTGGGAGCATGGGGAATCCCAGATTCTAGAAGAGACAAGTTATCATATACACCTTATAGTAATGGTCACCGTGACATTGACAACTTGGGTATGAAAAGCAAATATTTATTAGTTACATTTTAGTAAATTGTATTTGAGAAGTTACAAATACATATTAATTATATTTTTCTCTCTTAAGAAAAAGAACAATTGCATTTTTTTAATTCGTTGTTGTCTTTTTCCATGTCATTGTGAATAAACCATGTGCGTCCATAGGTACATACATAAATACGCTACGTTGTGGCTGCAGCAGGCACCCAAATTCATGATCATTTGATATGAGTTCAAGTACATGTATCTCCTCCTCTTCTTCATAATTATGCAACAAATCTTTAAATACACAGGAAAGAGAAAGAAGAAAAATTATTGTTGAAAGCTTTGTGTAGAAGATCCATGCAAACACTAATTGCTAGCTAACACTAAAAAACAACGAACTTTCCCGACATGGTTCTGAAACGTTCGAGCTCTGTTTTTTCATATATCCCCTAACAACAGCGACAACAAAGATTTGGTGGTGGGGGCTCGCAACACAAACACTGTGGACAATAGATTGTAGGTACCGTGCCTGTGATTTATCAACACACAACAATAGTGTTAATGTGATGAGTTAAAGAACATCGAAGGATTTTGATAAAAGATTAATTGTGATTTTTCGGTTCTTGTACTATAAAATGAGAATCATATGTTTGAAAAAAATTATGTATGGAATTTTTAACTTTTTAAAATTTTGGGTAATTACCATAAATGGTCACAAACTATTCACTTTGTACAAAATGGTAACAAACCTTTAATTTTGCACATTTCAGTAAAACAAGTTCTGAGTGAATAACAAAAAGGTCAATCCGTTACCTTCCGTCCAAAAATCTATTACTTTTACGTGGTCAGCATGACATGTCATTAAAAAAATTAATAAAAAAACTCATTTAATAATCCGAATTAATTCTAACCGGGTCACTAGCTTTATACCCACCTGCAGTACGCTAATTAATTCTGACCCTTCCGTTCTCCCCCAAATCAAGCTCCTTAATTGCCACGGTGCACGACACCAATTTCAGTGACTTTCTTGGCACCGTCGAAGGTAATGCCATTCTTAATCCCAATCTATATCAACATTTTTTTATTTGACCATTTGTTGATGATTAAAGTCTCCTAATCCCTAATTTGCCGTCTTAAGGTTGATGGAGAGCAAGACGGTGGCCGTAATCGGGCCACTGTCGTTCACCGCGAATGAGCTCCAAGTTCGGCTCCTCGATCTCCTTCTCCGCCACCGACCCAACGCTCAACTCGCTCAGTTCTCCTTCTTCGTCATAACGCAAAGCGACCTCTACCAGATGGCCGCCATCGCAAGAAAGGTCGAAGGCGTCAGGAGGAGAGGCTAGGATGCTCGATTGGATGTTGGAACACAGTGTAAGGGATTAGTGCAGCGGCAACCCGACGATTTGGACGGGGAGAAAGAGAAACCACGGCGGTCGGAGGGATGAAGGGTACGGGAGAGGAAGGGTCGGTATTAGCATACGGTCGGGTGGGTATAAGTAAGTGAACCGGTTACGGTTGTGCGGGTTAATTCGGATTATTATGTAATTTTTTAGTGACGTGTCATGCTGACTGGATAAAAGTAACGAATTTTTGGATGGAAGGGGATGAATTGACCTTTTTGTTATTCTCTCAAACTTATTTTATTGAAACGTGGAAAATTAAAGGTTTGTGACCATTTATTATAATTACCCTCAAAACTCTCACATAGAACAAAGAAATGACCGAGTAATTTTATTTTATTTTTATGTATAATTCATAATTTTATTGCAGTCACAAATGAATGAAAAGTACCTATTGGTGGTGGAGGTGCTCCAAACCAAATGTCATCAGTGTTGGCCAGCAAGCCACGAGAAGCTTCAGACGACTGTAGGATGTACGGTGAGAATAACATTGCCACGATAATTAATATAGACCGAAGTCGTTGCTTTTGAGAGCTATAATGATAATTATTATTTGCCATTGTTGTTGCAAAGGTTTGAAGATAATAGGTAACAAAACCGAAGGTATAGTACTTGTGGATGAGTATGTGTTTAGAGGTTTCTTTCCAATTTATTTATACTACTAGTGTCATGCCCGCCCGATGAGTGGTTTGTTTGTTTAATTTTTTTTCTTTTGTTGTTTGTTATTTTTTCTTAAATGATGTTAAGTGTCTATTTTCTACCGTTTGATCAAGAAAATTAGAAAACTGAAAAGGCATTTAACTCTTAGAGTAGTGATCAAAGAACTTTATTTGGTGATAAAGTAGGCATAATTTTGGCGTTATTTATCCAATTACGGTTTAAGCTTGTCAATTTTCATGTATCTAAATAAAAGGAGTTATATTAATCAACAAAATGGGAAAAGAAATAATTGGATTTGTATTGAAAAAAGTAAAAACACAGTTTTCAATAAATGTACTTGAAAGGTAGGAAAAAAAGAATTGTGCATATACATAATTTAACTTAAAACAATCTCCGAATAATAGGAATTTATAGTAGGGATGACAATTTTGCCCATATCCATGGGTATTTTACTATCCAACCCAATTGGGTTGGGTATGGATTCCAAATAAATGGTAGATGGGTAGAGTTTGATGGATTTATACCTATACCCATTTACTTGGGTTGGGTTGGGTTGGGTTTTTAACACATAGATTCGGGTTCGTACCCATGCCCAAAGGCAAATTACAGTTTGGTACCTAAACTTAATAGATATGCAGATTTAGTACCTAAATTTAAATTTTTTTTGCATATAAGTCCTCAAAATATCGATGGAAAATTACGTTTTGGTACCTAAATTTTTTTGGTCTTACATTTTGGTACCTAAACTTTTCAAGTTTTACAAATAGGTCCAATTTTTGTGTGTGTAGTTAAAACACCCTCAAGTAAATGGATATCCATATCCAGCCCATACCAATTTACATTATGAAAGCAATATCCATACGTAACCCAAACCCATCTACAAACCCCAAAACCCATATACACTTCATCCAAACCCTACCCATACTAAATGGATTTATTTGGATTTGCGTAAAATTACCCATGGGTGGGTAATTGCCTTCCCTAATTTATAGTTCACTAAAATACGACATTACAAACAAAATAACAAATTATGGTATTTAAATGCAACAGCTACCGCAGGGCCGAACTAAGTTAATGTCAACTTCAGTTTATACTTAAATCCAACCAATAAAAGCATATCTAAATGCTCATATTTAGATTCAACAATTTCTTTCCTTTTTAAATTAATTTCACTTAAATGAAATTTTTTGTTTAGAGATTAAAAAGTTGATCATTCTTCTCACCAAAAAAAAAAAAAGTTCATCATTCCAGTTTGACCACAAAATTTTCCAATTTTGACCGATGATTGCTACTTTTGATCAGTTTTAACTACCACTTTGTACTGTAGTCTTCCGGCCTGTTTGTCTCCAATACTTGTTGAACTGGTTGTACTGACCAACATAACAACCATATAAAAGTCCAGTCATTAGATGTAATTGGAATAATTAAGTCTTGTTTGGCTAGAAGAGTAACTATGTATGATTATTGGTTTGGAGAAACACAAAAGACAATGCAAGGCAGAAATTAAAAAATAGAGAACATATATAATTTGCTTGTTTATGGCAATGATTATAAAATTGTATCGGAGGTTGTACCAAAAAGATGGCGCTAAAGTATTTTATGCTGAAATATTTTAATCGTAGTTCAACCATTTCGTACCGCTAAAAATATTCTACCGATTTAGACTTAAATCGAAGGATTTCTGCAGGGCTGGGAAAATAGACCAGACCGTTAGAAAAATCATGGTCCAAACCGTATTGTACAATTTGGTCCGGACCGTAGACCGTTAAGTATGGTATGGTCCATGGTCTGTATTATTTTAATGTTTGATTTCTTGGTCTGGTCTGGTCTAGACCGCGGTTTACCGGACCAAACCGTGGACCCAACTGACTTGTCAATACGTGTTAACAGCCCATTCGACCACTCTCCCAACTCCCACAACGACACCCAAGTCTCAACCTTAGTTTTGTGAATCTCGTCCCTCCTTCATTCACAATCACATTTAACCAGAGAGTAGAGATAATTGTGTCTCCATATGACATTATGTTAATGTTTATGACGTTATGGTGCAAGGTGGGATGCTTTTACTTTGTATATTTGTTATGTACTAAGATTTAGGGTATCAAAATTATTCATGCATGTTAGGATTAATGTGTTAAGGCAAATAACAATTATTTTTCTTGGTTATTGGTTAAATTTTTTGTGTGGTTGACTAAATAAATAATTCATTTTTCGTTGAGTGTGGTCTATCTGGACCGGACCAGACCAGATCGAACCAGACCGCACAGGCGTGGTCTAGACCGGACCGTATAGTTTGTGGTCTGATCTGTGATCTATACTTCAGCCTCTCGGTCTGGACCATAGACCGTATATATGGTCTGGTTTGGACCAGACCGCACCGTTTCCCAGCCCCATATTTCTGTATCGAATTGTCGGTACGATAAGGTTTTACTAACACTAATTTATAGGCAGAGCTGGGGCGGAATTAATAATAGATTCTCCATTAATTACAGAAAATTATCCAAAGTTGTAATTTAGTCTTTATCTTATACAAGGAGATATGTTGAAGATCCAAAAAGAAGCTGGCTTTGTGGAAGTCTCGACATCTTTCCTTAGCAGCCAGGGTGACTTTGGTGAGATCTATCTCAACCTCCATGGCTGTTTATCCCATGTTCTCAGAATCACTCCCAGAGTCTGTTTGCAATTCTCTTGACAGGATTAATAGACAATTTGTTTGGGGAGAAGAGGAGGGCAAGACTAAGTTCCATCCGATTTCCTGGGAGCATCTAACCTTACATAGAAGTCAGGGAGGAGTAGGGATCAGACCTACAAGAGCATCTAATCAAGCTATGTTAGCCAAAGGAAGCTGGAGACTAGCATCGAATGACCACACTCTCTGAACGAAGGTCTTGAAGAACAAGTATGCTTGCAACAGAGATGGACTGGCAGCGCTCTCCAAAACAAAGGGAGGCTCTTTTTCTTGGAGGAGTTTCGCCTCCATTTTGGATATCGTTAAAAAGGGATATGCTTTTAATATATCAAATGGTAGAGTTGCTAAGTTTTGGACGGATCCTTGGGTTTTGCAGGTTCCTCTCGCTGAACTTGCAACTGCGGAAATTGCAGCAGACAAGCTTGGATGGAGAGTGGCGGATATGTGGGATGGTGATCATGGATGGAGACTGGAGGAATTTGAAGATCTGCTTCCTGCGAGCATGTTCAACAAGATCTGGGCAGTCGTGGTGGACCCGTTAGCATCTGAGGACGACCGACCTATCTGAGCTTTACGTCGAATGGCAAATTCTCAGCCAGTTCAGCTTACAAGGCTTTAATCCCTCAAGTAGGAGAACAACAACCTATTTGGAAGAAAATCTGGCAGCTTCAGGTGCCCAAGCGAGTGAGGATGTTTATCTGGATGGCGGTGAAATGGATGCTGACCACCAACGCAGTTCGAAAACACAAACATCTGGCAGATGACAACGCTTGCCCTGATTGCGAGGGATTCGTGGAAACGAGTCTCCACTGCCTTCGTGACTGTGACTCGGTAAAGCCAACATGGAATAGGGTCGTTCCTAGTGCACTTCAGGCGGTTTTTTCAGTGCAAGTTACGAGAGCTGACTGACTTCTAACTTGCAGAATGACTGTCTTGGCGCCAGGAAAGGCTGTTGGGCGTCCTATTTCAGTTTCATACTTTGGTACATTTGGAAGAGCCGAAACGACAAGGTCTTCAACGACATTAAACTCTCACCGACAATGCTGCACAATTACGTTACTTCCAAGGCTCAAGAATGGAGTAAAGCGTGGGAGGCAGCTGCTGCAAGATCTGTGAGCGCTTCTAAACCAGCCAGAGAGGAAGTTTTAATCAGCTGGGTTGCGCCAAGATCAGGATGGTGGAAAGTTAATATAGATGGAGCGGCTCAAAGTAATCTGGGAATAGCGACAGCAGGAGGAGTTATTCGTAACTGTTATGGAGACTGAGTAGGAGGCTTTTGTAGTAAGCTAGGTTCTGGTTCTGCGCTGCTTGCGGAGCTGTGGGGAATTATACAGGGGCTGCAGCTGGCATGGTGGAAAGGAGCTCAATTCATCATTCTTGAGTCCGACTCCAAGCTGGCTCTTGATCTGATCAACCAACGGTATGACTCGTCACATCCATATTCAACGATTCTCGGCCATATTCGTCGTATTTTGGCACAAGGCTGGGTGGTTCAGCTAGTTCATACGTACAGAGAAGGTAATAGGTCGCGGACTGGCTCTCGAACCACAGTCTCGTCTATCCTATCGGTACGTATGAGCTTGATGATCCACCTGCACAGTTGGATGTGTTGTTACACGAAGACGTGCTGGGAATCAGCTTCCCAAGGAAAGTGTTACAAGATCGATAACCTGACCTGATGGTCTCTTGATATTGACTTAGGATGATGGCGTTGTTTTGGACCCGTGATGATAATTCCTTCTCATGTTTTGCTTTGATTTTGCGTATTGAGCTTGCAGAAGACCTGCTGCTGCTGCTTGCTTGGGCGCCTCTGTTTGGTTGCTAAACCTCTGGCTGTGTATCTGTGCTACCTCGGCTGATTGATAGCCTCCCTTGAATAAAAATAAAAAAAAATCTTATACAAAATGAAGGCTGCAATTCATTAAAAAAATATTGAAAATGAATTAATTGCTTGCTTTTATGTGGGTGGGGTGCTCTTAATTATCATTATTTTATTTGAATTTACTAAATCACTAATTTAAAACAGTCAAACTCTGTTTTGAATGACCAGAAAAGAGATGATAAAAAAATAAAAAAAACTTGTGAAGTGCCAATACAGTGGGGCAATGAGAGATCAGCTACGACTGACGTGGCATATTGTTTGCATAGAATGATCATAATATATGTTATATAGATAGATGGGTTAAAGACACATTTGGTCACTGAGATTACAAAATCGGGACATGTTTAGTCACTAGAAAAAGTTAATATCAAATTT